GTTTGTTTGTTTATTTATTTATTTATTTATGCAGGGTCTCACTATGCAGCTTGGACTTGTGGTGATCCTCCTGTTTGCAGTCTCCTAGTTCAGGGATTACAGGCGTGTGCCACCACGCCCAGACTCCATCTTTGGCTCAGTGCACCTACGGGGTGGGACCGGCATGGCATGCAGTGCCAGGGATTGAACCCTGGCACCTACGCTTGCCTAAGCAAGTGCTTAGTCTGCTAAACTATCTCACCGGCCCTGAACCAGTTATACTTTAGATAAGAACAAATTTCTCAGCTATTTTAGCTCTGCTAATAATACTCCCTCTGGAGTAGCACAGAAATCAAAGTGATGAGGTGTATTGTGGATGGCTGTCTACCAAAAAACTTGGGGTTTTGTAGGAAACTAGATTATGTCTTCTGTGACATTTTTTTCTCTAGTGATTCTGAATTTTTATTATCTGTTCTTTTATTTTAATGTTACATTTTTCAAGAAGTTTGGTCCTGAAAGACACACTACATGTAGTAACAGGATCTGAAAACCTTATGTCAAATCTACACAGCATTGTGTTGCTTTTTTATCTGAATGACTGTCTTCTGCAGGATCTTAGTTGAAGCTCAGTGATATATGAATTCTAAACACAATCTAATCAGAAGCAATTATAACTCTATAACTAATTTTGAATAATTTCACATTTTTAAAACAACATGATGAGAAGGACAAGACCTTCTCTTCCTTGGTCTCAGAGCTGTTTCCTTACCTGGTACTACCTTCATTATGACTAAAGAATGATTTAACAGAATAAAGAAAAATTACACAGAGATACACTGTTTCTATAAAACAACAGATATCCTACTCCTAAACATCCTTTAGTCTAATGATAAAAGTAGTATATTATTATGAACACTGTAAGCAATAGAATAATACAACAATGAACATAATACATACTCTTAGTGGTTTGGGACAACTTGGACTTCAGATATATATGTATATATTTATAAAATATGCATAAATGTACCACACTGACAGATTGACTATAACATCTACACAGCATTGTAACTATTGAAAAAGAAGTTTAAAAAACAGGGCCTCTTTTTGTATTCTGGGACCCATTTTTCTGAATCTGGGACACTGAATGACAGCTGTCATGTTGATATGTTTCTCATTTTCTTTTGACAATAAAAAGTAAATGTTGAGGGTGTTTCCATTCTCATTTCTTGATCACTATGCATCTTGTGACCACACCCTCAATTTGCTACATTTCTGACTGCTTTAAGCCTGTCAGCATGTTTCTGCTTAGTCTAGCTGTCTTCAACACCTCATTTGATAATCCATCTCATTAAAAAATATTACAGCAGCCTCATGTTTATTTATTTTTTGAAGACGGCTTATAAAGCCACGGTTCTGATTTCTGAATGCACTCATTATATATCTCATAAGAAGTGTTCCATGGGCTCTTTAATATTCTGATAATGTTTCTATGTGTTCAGCCATCTATCTTATAATGAAATGCTATCTTTTTTTTCTGACAAATTTAAAATATCGGTGCAGCTATCTGATGCACGGGCACAGACTGCCTGTGTGACCTTGGACAGTGGCACCGTGTTTCCTGAGTATATAAACTGATGGAACAGGGAACATGGTAAGACAGATCACTTAACAAAAATATAATAATTAGAAATTGTGAAGTGGTTTACATTTCTTAGCCCAAGCTTTTACTGTTTTGGAGACTTCAATCATCCTTTTAGGATATACTCTTTTAGGACACTGGGAAGCAGAATACACTATTCTTAGGTCCTTGTCTTTCTCCTGGGAAACTGTCTTTTTGTTCCCTAGAGTTCTGTATATGACAACTGGCAAATGTGAGGCAAGGAATTAGGCAGCCACTTTACAGGGTAGGTTTGGTTTGAACCTCTCTTCTGGCTGGGCTGTCCTAACAGTTACACTGCGAGGGCTCCCTACAGAATTCCTACATATTTGCTTGCATCATTTTTGCTGAGTTTGGCCTTCTCTGTATTCAAAGTCAGCTGCTTAATTTTATTCTTGTTCCTGGACTTACATTTTATGGATTAGCCAGGACAGGAGCTTCTTTCTTCTTTTTCCATTCTCTACAATGTTTTATTCTCCAACCAGTGCTTGCACCTACATTCCCAACCCTGACACATATTCTCTCCAACATCCCCTGTATGTCCCAGCCAATAAGTTGGCAGCTACTTAACCGTACTACAAATTCTTACAGAGCATGTGCAGGTATCTCTTGAGCCTGGTGCGTTTGCCCTGCTGCAAGCAACCTTATTGCAGGACCGATGCAGAAGCCCTCAAGGCCTCACCACGACAGACTTTCCTTCATACTGATGTCTCCAATATCCAAGTCTGCCTGGATATCAGGGGCTCACTTCCAGAAGTCTTCAGATTGTCACATGGAATCCTCTGATTCTTTGTCATACTCTGATCCCTATGTGAAACGGAAACTGTTGCTCTCCACAAGGCTTGATCTGTGGGCATTGGGGCCAGCTTCAGGAGCATGTCACCCTGCTAATAGATGACTGCCAGACAAATTTAGAAATGGTTCTGATGAAAAGATCATCTGGTTTTTCTTTTTGCACTACTTAACTATCCTTTAATTTACAAACATGCATCATCTATACAGATGAAAATGATATATGAGTTTTCCAAATGTGCTTATTTTAGAAACAATTGTTTTCTGTTTTTTAAAGGGCTAACATTCTATGAAATACTTTTGAAAGTGATTTTCAAAGAATACACTAGGAAATCTCATGGTCTAAGTCGTGTTTATAGACTGATTCAAATATTTACAGAAAATATACCTTGGAATGAGAACAAAATAGAAAATATACTAGTCCACAGATAACTCCATCCAAAAACAAAAAAGCACTGCATTTTGATTAGTAGAGGATCATGTTCTACAATAAAGCAAAGATTCTGACATTGTCTTATTTTCCATTGTGAGAATGTTTATTGATATCTACAGTGTGCTAGGTACAATTCTAGATTGTGGAGCTTTAAATGCTAAGTAAGATCAATTCTCAATGTAGGAGTTTCTCAAAGTATCATCCTGAGCACATTTTTTAAAATAATCAAGGGTATGAAAACAAAATGCTCATTTATAAATGAATAGATAAAAATATATGGTATATATTCGCAATGTATTTTTTCAGCTATTAAAAAATAAAATCATTTATATCCTCTTTTTTATGTTTTGTTTTGTCAGAGATGGGTGTTCCATTGCTGCTAGAGAAGCTGTATTTGGAGAAGTCTTTAAAGGACCTTTTCATACTTGACACCAGTTCAAATATTGTAGGTACTTGAATTCAGCAAAATATCCCAATATAATCCAATAGTCCATAATAGTTGTGGGTTATCAGCAGAGCTGGCCAATTGCCAGAAGTTGTTGACTTGAGCCTTTTATATCTCAGCATATTAATATGACATTACTTTTTTTTTTTTTTTTTTTTTGGTGGAATCGGGGATTGAACTCAGGCTCTTGCACTTGCCAGGTAAGCACTTATTCCACTGAGCCATCTCCCCGGCCCCTGACATTACTTTTTATACCTTGTAGTTATACTTTTCTGCTGGATGGTAATTAATAATTTGTTTTAAAAAAAGAAAAAAGAAAACCCTATCATTTGCAGCACCATAGATGCCACTGAATGACTACATATTAAATGAAATAAACCAGACACACACACACACACACAATTGTAGAAGCCAAGATGGTTGATTTTACAGAAGT